ACTTTTTTTTCATTTTATGTTTTTATTTAGTTCTCTCTCCTACTTTTTGACTTATTTTAATTTTATTGCTCTAATTTTAATTTCATTTTAAATTCTACTTCATCTTCCACCCCTACTTGCAAGCTACCCCTCCCTTCATTTTCTTTCTTTCTTCTTCTTCACCTCCCACCCTCGCCTCACCCACCCCCATGTCAAGTTGATTCCCCCTTCCTATTTTTATTTCTTTTTTCTTCTTCTTCTTAGGTCAAATTCCTTTCTTTCCAAAATTATACTATTTTCTAGACTTTGTTGAGTTATTGATAACAAAACTAATTATTTTTCTAAGAAAATCAAATTTTGAAGGTATCATCAATTAATTTATCTCATTTTTATATAAATTCAAAACTAGAAATTATAATTTTGAAATAGATAGAATTCTACGAAAATTGAATAAGTTTAATAGAATTTTGGATAAAAAAACTAAATAATACCTACTAATCATTTTGAAATCTAATAGGTTTATCAAATTGTTCGAAATATAATAAAATATTTAGATATAATTTTAAAATTGAAGAGAGTTAAACTAATAGTAGTAAAAAAGGGAGGTGGAGTTGTGGTAAAAATTGACATTCAAAGTGAGAAGGTTACAATGAAGATGACAATGAATTTTTGAAGAAGAAGGAAGAAAGAAAAAGAAAAACAAATAATAAGGAGAAAAAGTTAAAATAATAAGAAAATAGAATTAATGAGTGCACAGATGCCCGTGGATACATGCATACTATTTATATATGCCAAAATAGCAACGCGGCCAAATACTATGTCACAGTTATTTGGTTCTTCGAAATTGGGTAACATATGCCTACTATGTCGTTGGTAGCCATTTGAAACTTCATAGTTACTGTTACAGTATAGTGTTTGACAAAATACATGTCGACTCTGTTATTGACGATCATTTACTTGTTCACAGATTTCATTGTATTGTCGTGTGATGCCATGCTTGACAAATACCTGTACAGACATTAATAATGACTTGCTTGTTAATTACTGTAGAAGTGTTTAACTAATAAAGGTAGAGAAGGTAGTAGCAGTAGAATTGAGCTAGGTGGGTGACGTACCTTTTAAGGTATCAAGCGTGAAGAATATATTCTTGATTTTCTTCAATCTGGATTATCAAAACTACAACGCAATGTGGCAGAAAGAAAGCATTTGAGGTCTCCTTTGCTTCAAAACCCCCCGGGAAAATCAAATGATAAAATAAAATGTTAAGTAAAATAAAACTAATTAAGACAACTATCTTTCAACCTCAATGGCAGAATCTTTGTTCTATTTGCAATAGTTCAACTAATTAGAAATAATAAATGTTAACATGAAGATCAATGAAATGCAAATATTATTTAGTTGAATTTATTTATCAATTTGAGTAAGCTTACTATAACACCTCGAAACCCAGACTAAAAAAATGCAGTAGAAAATCACCAGAATCGGTGAACCACGGTAGGGTTCACGGACAGTGATAGGGTCCACGGTCCCTTGACCTTCCCGTGAACTCTATTACCTTCTAGTCGGGGTGGACCACAGAGCCCTTCATGAGCCGTGGACCACCTCACTAGCCGTACTGGTACTCTTGGAAGTTAAATAGAATCCATCGGGCTCAGACATCAGACCATGGGGACCCTCATGGGCCGTGGTTTTGACGACAATCCGTGGTGGCTTCCGTGAAGTCGAGCCAGTGTAGCCCTTAGCCCAGGTGAAGGACCACGAGGACCTTCACGGTCTGTGATCCTTCACACGGTCCGTGAAGTGGACCATAGTAGGGAGTCCCAAAATCAGTAGCTACTGGACCAAGGTCCACTGCCGGCCCTGGACCAAGGTCCCGAAACTACATGGTTTTGGTCAGTTTTAGCCTAGTAAACTAATTAGAACTTACCCTAATCAATTATTCACCTAAATCAAGCAAAAATTAGAGGAAAAATCAGAGAAGGAAATATCAGAGGGAAAGACGAGCAGCCCTAGTTCAAGAGCACAATGAATTTTCATCAGTTCCAACCCTGAAAGCAAAAGATTTCACCGTGGAATTCGTCACCAACTATTTGGGATTTCACTACTAGGTTTCTTTCACCCATTAGGTCCCTAGATTTCAGTCAGAATCTTGATTCCCTTAATATTATCTAGACCTAAGGTTGTTTTAATGTTAGAAATTATTGGGTTTTTAGCTATTGGAATGATCCAAATCAGATTATCATGATTTTAGTATTATTTTGCGTAGATTCCTTCATAAATTCAGAACCCTAGCTATATAGTTCTGTCAGATCATGAATTACATATGCTAGGCCAGTTATTTCATTTATACATGCCTTAGTTTCGAATGTTTCATTATTAGTACATTAATGTTGAATTTTCAGTGAACATGTCAGTATTTTGAGCTATTCAGTATTACAGAAAATCAGGCATAAATTGTTAAATACATAATCAATTGAGAGTAGCTTAATACCAAGTGGATTAGGGTTCAGCGTACCCGAATATTCCCAGAACTACGTGCCCAGTAGGTTTATTAGTACCCTATGTGGGCATTACATTTTAGTGATCACGCCAGTCATGCCTCTATACCTCTGGCAGGTATATTGGGTCCTCTCGATGGGGCATATACATCGGACTCCACATTTAGCTTATGTGGTGTTATGTCGGTTATTAGTAGATCCCTTACAGTGATAATCTATTGCATTGACCATGTTATTCGTTACAGTCAGATTTCAGTGTCAGCATGTTATAAACCACGTCATTGCATTCAATCATTTCATGTTCAGTATTTTCGGTATAGTATCATGCTTATCTCATATCATTGCTCAGTTATATGCTTTGTTCAGTTATGTATGTTGTTCAGCTTTATTCTATCCTGCATACTCAATACCTTTCAAGTACGGACACATACTTTGTGCTACATCTTCTCGTGATATAGGTTCAGGTTCTCAACTTCTAGATCATGCATAGATCGGTTCCCGATCTTCAGCTCAGCAACATCAGTGGTGAGTCCTCATTTTCCGAGGACGACATACTTGTTTCCTTTGCTTTTAGTCTTAGTTTCAGCTTTTGCTAGATTTAGCTGGGGCATGTCCCAGCAATTTTAGTCAGTTAGAGGCAATTTTCAGACATAGTTAGTTTCATCTTTAGCACTTGAGTTTGACCTTTTAGCATTTGTTAAACTCTCAGTTTTTATATATATATTCAGATAGTATATTGGTATTCCCCATTATTTCAGCTTAAATGATGACTTAGCTTCTCCACAATATTTCTTTAGTTCAGTTTACTTTAGCATGCTTTTGATATGCCAGCAGGGTTAGCTTGGGGTCACTCATGATTCTAGGTCCCGTGTCCGCGTCCTGGGGTAGCTTTGGGATGTTGACACTCAGAGTCCACAATTGACGCACAAGTCAAAGTTCAAATTATGAAGCTGACTATCCAGTTTTAAATCTTTTAACTATAAAGAAAGAGAAAAAAACACCAAATAAAAATGATGACTCCTTAGTATATTTTTAGTTGTTGATTATTAACTTGACACACAAATAATACATAGATGACAATTTTTGCTTTGAAAAAAATATCTTGAAAAAATGATGAATAGCAAGAATACATTAGAAACTAAAGTCATAAATTATCTTAATTTATTAAATTGCAAGATGAATATCAAAAACAGGTAAGATAACTATCAATGAGAGAAGAATAAAAAGCTATTAAGACACATAACCAAATACATTATATGCCTAAATAGAAACTCACTCAAACGAAGGAAGAATATCTTTAAAAAAATATAGGAGAGCAACATAAAAAAATAATAACAAAAAGAGTACCTGAAAATTACAATAGAGATGAATGGAAGATGCAAGTGAGAGAGAATGGGAAAAAATAAATAAAAGAACACTGCAATTCCACCCACTTGCGCTAAAGAGTGGAAAATAGAAAAGATGTTGAAGTCATATCAATATGTGTCCAAAGGTACCAATCTAGAAAGACTGCAATTACTACTCCTAGTGACACAAAAATTTGCAAGCATAAATTAGAGAGAGTTGAATAGTCACAATTGCCCTCGAATATGAATTGAATGATAGGAAGCGAACATGTTGATACTCATTTTGAACTATTTTATTTTTAGTTTTTTACTTTTTACCCTCCCTAGGAGCTCCCACCCCTTTTTGCTCCCTTGGTGACTCGAACTCACAACCTTCGGGTTGGAAGTGAGAGGTGCTTACCATCCGAGCAACTCATTTTGAACTCACTCTTCTAATATAGTTGAATTTGTTCCAAGTCAGTAGTTAAGATAATATTTATTCAACTTTTAAAAAGTTCAAGGGGTTATAAAACTCCCACAAATATAAAGTGTGTGTGCTTGAAATTTTTTGTGTAGTTCAGGTTGGGGTGTAATCACGCATTTTCCCTTTTATTTATTTGAAAGTAAAACATAATAATTATTTATTTATGTTGAAAATATAGCCAATATTTACATTTTATTATTACTAGTAATCTATGATGATAATGAATTTATCAAACATATTCCTCAGGATGCTTCCACTTCAAAATTTCTATAAATCTCAAATAGTTAAACGTTACTTCACAACACTTAGCCAATAATCGAAGTTGTCACTTCAAAGTTATATAAATGATACAATCATTTTTATTCCCGATAAGCTACATTATATTTATTAGGTGAATGTGTTTGTTCAATACGAAATGATAGTATTTAATAACAAATGTGAGATTCAAAATTTTGTTAATTTAACAAAAAAGTTAATTTTCGCTCATATTATTATAAAGTTGGCTTGAGATCAAGAACATTAATGTAAAACAAAATCAAATAAGCAATAGAGAATCAAATATCAATATGATTTTTTTAGATAAACTCAAAATAGTACAATCTAATAATATGATGATCCAAATCAAGAAAGATAGTAGAGACTCAAAACACATAACATATCAATGGATGGTAGATAGTCTTCAAATATCACTTGCATTTAAGAGCACTCATGATCTTATGAATTGTTTGTGAGTGCATTTGCTTCTTTGACCAACTCCATAGAAAGAGTTGTAGCTGGAAAGATGTTCCCCACAATTTGAAAGTTGGTAGTCATCAACGATCCACCACCGAACCCATTATTCATCTCCCCAGAAATAACATTATAGTTATTAGTTGTAAAAAAATCTTGAAAACAATCCAGGACTATTGTTATTCCATTTGAGAAGAGAGTCACACAAGAAGAGTCTCCCCCTTTCATCACGGTATTAATTTCTTGTGAATCAATTGTAGCATAAACCAAAAGAGATCCAGTTGCATCCATGCAAGTATCTTGCAAAACCACTCGATTAGCACCAGAATCATCACCTTACATGTCCGAATCAAAAGAAAAGATTATTCATAAATTAACAATTAATTAAAAAAACTAAATTCAATCATGTATCCAAAAAAACACTACAATTAACCACTCACATGAGGAAAAAAGAGGGAAATGTTACTGTCGACAGTTTGACCCTTATAAATATTGATCAATCGTTTCATGGGACAAGTATTAGACAAGACATCCCACTGGCTCCGTATTTGTTCATTAGTGAGGAATTTGAACAAACGCTGGTGTTTCAGTGGTAACCAAATTGTCTTTGTAGCACTTAACACCACACCAGTCGATTCACCAAGGTCACTGATTTTCGTCCTCATCATTAATTTGGAATTTTCTTCATTTTCTAGTTGAATTATTTCCCAATAGTGAGCGGTTGCACAAACCCCCGCACAAAAATTATGCGTCATGCGTTGAGCCAACATCCTTATACCTCTCTCACCACTTAAATCAACTGCCACAAATAAAGCTACATAAGAATCAATTCTTTTTAATATTCAAAAGTATAAAAAAATGCATGCGTTGAGCCAACATCCGTATACCTCTCTCACCACTTAAATCAACTGCCACAAATAAAGCTACATAAGAATCAATTCTTTTTAATATTCAAAAGTATAAAAAATAAATGGCACAATAATTGAACCTCTATGCATGATTACCAATGGGATCAATAATTGACTTCATCACTTTCAAGAACTGATATTGTCTTTGCAAAGTAGCCATCCACCTTTGAGCACCAAATCCCAGACCAGTCTTTATCAAAGGGCGATACCAATCGTGGACAAGATTTTCATTATATTCCATGTGCTCAATCCAAGTAACCTGAAAATATTTCATCAATATTACAAAATCACTAGAGAGAAAAATATGAACTTGCATGAAATATTAGCTTAATTAAAATAAAATGGCCATTATTGGAGACAACTTAAAAAATTCAGCCATTAAATAAAAGAGTCAATCATAAGGAATGTATCCTCAAAAAAGATTTCTAGTGGTCTTGCCAATATATATGGAAGGAGGGAGTGCGTAAAATATTTAGGTCTTGCCTTTGGTATGATGCGAGGATACATGTAAACAAAAAATTGCAGAAAAATTAATGTATCTAAATATATAAATTTGAAAGTGAGCATAGAAAAATTAGACAATTAGAATTTTATTGCATGGTTAGAAGGTGAAGAATAAAAAAAAAATTCTTTAATCAAGAAAGAATATTAGTATGTTTCAAAACAATTACTAAATAGTTGCATTACTCAAAGCTAGAAGAAAGTTGTTCTTTCTCAATTCCGAATAAATAAAGAAAAATTCAGATAGAGAACAAAGCACTACAATGAATACATAGATTGTAATTAATAAAAAAAATCAATAAAAATAAATCAACAAGAATTAAAATTAATAAAATATGAGCGATCTAGCTCATTGAATTTTAAAAAATATAAAGGCCTATGACATGTAAAATAAAAAGATAATTTATTTTGAATTACATGGCAATAACCATTTGGCATATCTTGTAAAATACAGCCAGATGGGAGCCTTCGACAATTTTCAATTTCGCTCTATTGTGAACCTTCTTGAATTGTGTCAACAGACACATCGACGATAGCCCAGACACCTTCAGCATGTTTCTTACAGAAGTGAAGAAATTGTACTTCGCGAACATAAACTAGGTCAGAAATGATTTGCAATTCGGTTTTAATCTGCAAATCATTATTATCAAGTTGTTAGTGCATGGAAAAATAAAATAAATAAGATATGTAATTTTCATCAAAATAATAAGTAAATAGAAATACCAATAACAGAGAACCGCTCTTATTTCCACCTATGCCAGTGGAAATCACATCAGTAGTATATATTTTTCCAACAATGCATGGAAACATCTCTACCCACTCCCTCTGCATATATACAATACAGTACATAACAAAAAATAAAAATATAACATGTCAACACATACTTGTCTTCATCACTTGAAGTTAAATTTGATTGATTAAAATAATATGCAACAACTAATAGAAGCACCAATAAAAAAAACTAATAAAAAGATATGTCAAATATTGTAAAAGTAAGAGTACAACTAATTAAAAAGAATAAAAATAAAAAGAACTAATTATTCACATCAAATAAGGGGTAGGTGGTAAGGAGATGATAGTTCTAAAAAATGAGACAGAGGAAAACATTGAATTTAAAATGAAGAGCCTACGTACCTTATCCATTAGTGTATTCACCAATGCCAAACTGGTGTCAGCCACTGTACCTGATGCCGTTGTGGCTTCCGTTGTGAAATGCTCAGGTTTCGTGCCAATTAATAGGGTAAACAATCGAGCATATTCCTTAATATTTAATGTTTCTCCACCTCCATCCAAACTGCTTACCCAAAGAGGTTTATCATTCTCATACAGCCTAAAAAGCTCATTCAAGGCATCCATAGCAAGATTCAATAACACCATCTTATCCTGCACTACATCTTTATTAAATAAGCTTGATTTGTACGCTTGGGCGGTAAGCCATTTAACTTCATCTTCCAATTGGTCATGCTCAATCTTTATTTGATTCTCATCAATGTTTTCTTTAAAATTGTCACGAATTGAATTTTTTAGGGCTTCCTTCATTACAATATTCTCTATGCGAAGCTTGTCATTTTCTTGCTTTAGAGTCTTATTTTCGTACAATTCCAATTGCAACTGATAAAATAGCACAATTTATTTTTATAATCAATTATACAAATTTCACATAAGAAAACCATAAATTAGGGGAAAGAAATGTGATATGCATCACCTTCACTTGGGTTCTTTTATTCTGGAACCAATTTTGCACCTGGTTGATGTCCATGGATAATTTTGTTGCAAGTTCTAGTCGTACTTTTTTGTTAGGAAGTGAATTCTTTTTGAAAAACCTATTCCCAATGGTATAAAATAAACAATGATCAAAAAATCAAAATTAACAAGAAATTAAACAAGTACAAAATAAATTAGAATTATACTTACAATTCAAGCTCTTGAATCTGATCGGCATTATGCCTAATGGGTTTCTTCCTCTTCGATGATGATTCACCACGTTCATCTACAGATGCACCACCAGTTATGTTGTCACCGATAGAACTTCTCTCTATTTCTTCCTCTCCAGATCCTCCTATCACAACATTAATCAAACTTTCTTTTCTCTCATTCATGTCACTATGACCTTCCATCTTTTATTTCTGAACAAATTTAAGATTGTATCAGTTCAACTCAATATCATGCATATGTGATCATATAATACCAGAATTAAAAAAATATTTGGTTCCAAATAATTGCAAATGAAAAGAAACAACATATCAAGATACAAGAACAAGTGAATTATTTGGTTCCAACTATATTGCATAAGGACGTAAAAAAGATATTTATTTGAAGAAATATATATTCAGAAAGAGTTAAACTCATGTAGTAACATAAATGGAGCGTCTACTTATCATGAAAGGTGGTAATAGTTAGAAATTACGAATCTATAGAATAACTCCATTTCCATTACTATATATTTTTTTACCAATGAAGACTTCAAAAATTATTTTAAAAATACAAATCAAACTCAATTCACCTATACACGTTTGTCATTATAACAAATTTAAGTTAGGTCTTATGCTTTTTAGGAGTGTCTTATGTCATATCTAAAACATCTAATGTGACGTAAAATATAGAAAAAATATATATGGTATTAGTTAATTATCTATGTTGAGTTATACCAAATAGCAAAATTAGTGAATATTCACGTAGTCAATTCAAATTTATCTAGGGTTAACACATAGTCGTTATTATTGCTAGTCCACCAGAGACAAATTCAGTTGAGACCTATGGATAACAAAAAGGAGAGAGAGAAAAGGGTGATAAAATAAATCGTAAATGACAATTTTTCAAGAAAAGGATGGTAGAAAAATCTATTCTAAATTCACACCAAATGATATTTTAAAAACAGAAAACACTTTTTATCAAAATATTTTTTTTCATGAAACCTAAAATTTGAAACCCCATATATTTCAATTTATATTTCATCGTGTCATTAAAGAAATTTCAAATATCTTTGACTAAAAATGAAAAAGAATTTCAAAGATCTAATTAAAGATGAAAAAGAATTTGAAAGATCTCGAAAAAATTCTTTATTTTCGCATCTTAAACTCATGTTGAACTATTTATTATTTTATAAGATGTTCCCCAAAAATATTCCATATATCACAAAAGTTACATTGATAACTTA